TCAGTGTTCCTTGTAAGGATTAAAAGGAAGAGGTTGATAAATAAATGTAAAGATAAATGACAAAGGCAGCGGGGTCCATAACATTAAACATTTTAGGCATTATGCAGCTTCTCGGGCAAGTTTATGCTGAAAAAGTATGACCGAATAATTTCACAAAAGGCATATAACTTCCAAGTGGTTTCAAGCTCCAGAATTTGTCTGCAAAAATATCTGAAGGGAGCTTATTCTCTTGTTCACTTGATGCAGAGGCCTTTGATATTCGTTGACATCGAAGGATATCCGTTTCATCTGACGCAAGAAATATCTCTAAAGAACACCGAAGAACTCATAATGCAATGTATTTTCAACATTCATCCCCTGCTGCAAGGTGTTCACTAATCAGAAATACTTATTGCAGGGTCGCAGGTACCTGTGATCGATGTGGTATTATGCCTCCCTCAAAATTTGCCACATTTCTTTCAAATCTAGAAAATAAAACATCAACACAGCTGTAACTGAAATTCACACAGCCAGGAACAATATTTGATTATATTAAAGGGGAATTAAATGTCAATCATATGTAATTGTGCTGAATACATTGTGCGGTAAAATAAGAATTAAAGAAAAGAAAAGAAAAGAAGAGAAGCGAAGAGAGAGAAGAGAAGAGAAGAGAAGAGAAGAGAAGAGGAAAAGAAAGAAGAAAAAAGAAAAAGAAAGAAAAAAAAAAACAGAAGTAACGCAAAACCATTCGAAGGTAGTGCTCTTCTTATGCTAAAGCACATAAAATCACAAGATCTCACAACACAAACATGCATAACCACTTACCATAAGAGCTATTGCAGTGCTACTATATTTTAGAATAGTTATACCTATACTATCACAGAAAACGAAAACATTTAGTAGTGAGAAAGAATGAAATTTCTATACATACTTGTATATGAATAACTAAAGTAAATAGTCTCAAATCTAAGCTCGAGCGCGCGCGCGCGCACACACACACACACACACACACACACACACACACACACACACACACACACACACACACACACACACACACACACACACACACACACACACACACACACACACCACACATATAATATATATATATATATTATATATATATATATATATATATGTATATATATATATATATAATATATATATATAATATATATATATATATATATATATATTATATATACACATGCATATATATATATATATATATATATATATATATATATATATATATATATATATATATATATATATATATATATATATATATATATATATATATATATATATATATATATATATATATATATATATATATGCATACCTATCTGTCTGCCTATCTCTCTTTCTCTATCTAAATATGCATGAATGTGTATTTGCATATAATGTTGTATATATCTGTGTATATATTAATCTATCTACCTACACGCACACACACACACACGCACACAAACGGACACATACAAACACTGCAAAGGCTTAGGATACATTAAAATAAGATATATTCTGTTGCTCACATTTACAGAAAAAAGGTCCACTGTCAAATAGCAGCATGCATCACCGTCTTGAGTCATCTAAGAAAGAAAATGCTACAACAGAAAGATATTTTGCGTTTTCCCAGTTGCATTTCAGTAACTTCAGGAGAGCCATTGGAGCCAAAGTAGACACCTCCCATCTCGATCCTTACCCCTAGGACAGTCCTGGCAATGTAAATAGTAACATAATATAAGGTTTACTAACGTAATTGAAAACGCTAAGCACTAGATAAAAAAGTACTTTCCAAATTTATGGCCAAAGCGTTAACGAAACATCATTTACAAGCCCCACTAAGCATTTCTATGGAAGCACCCTTGCTCATTCCGCAACAGTAGCTGTCTGTGGCTCATTCCTATTCAGTGTTCAATTCTTTTATGAACAATTTACCAATTTGATTAGAGACAATTTAAACACACACAGACACACACGCCACACACAGACACTCAAGAATAATAACCATAAAACAGCCCTTTATAAAGGGGCACACTGATACAGGCTCACATAGAGAAACACACT